TGTGCTGCGGGCAGAGAACAATTCCCTGCAGTTGATCGAGGCCGCTGGGCTGGGACTGTGCTATACCTTAGGGTTTAGGGCTTAGGATTTCAGGGTTTAGGGTTTAGGGTTTAGGATTTCAGGGTTTAGGGTTTAGGATTTAGGGTTTAGGGTTTAGGATTTAGGGTTTAGGATTTAGGGTTTAGGGTTTAGGGACAGCGTTCCCACATAAGTTTTTCCTTATCGCGCAAGGCTCCTAGATTCCGGGCATTCGTAGGATTTAGGGTTGGAGGAGCAGGGGACATGGAAAGTGGTCAGAAATCGAGGTGCGACGTGATTTGGGTTTAGGTCCTAGGGGTTTAGGGGTTTAGGGTTTAGGGGTATAGGGGTTTAGGGTTTTGGGGTTCTAGGGTTCAGGGCTTCAGTGCAGGGCTGTTGGGATTGAAGCCTGACTGGGGTGCCCAGGAGCCGGGTTACCCGCAAAGATCAAGACCGGAGTCCCGGGAAGCGTATCAAGACTTGGGCAGCGTTTCGGTTTAGGGTGTAGGGTTTAGGGGGGACAAACCCTATCAAGCCCGTAGAGTTAGAAGTTACACTAAGACAACTGGTCAGGGTTTGGGGGTCAGGGTCCCGCCAATTCCCGACAAAGACCGTCGCCTACAGCTCATACTAATTCGAGACTCCCCAAGACAAGTCAGAGGCAAAAAGCTGGCTGTTAGCTGGTGTCAAGTCTGGCTTGGTTCCTCCCCTTCCCTCTCGTCTTGTACTGCTGCAGTGCTTTCTGCTCCTCGGCTTCCTGTTTCGCTTGTCCTGTTTGTGTGTTTGCATGTGACGGTGAAAGCCTTCTATTTGCAAAAAGGGTTGGGGAGGCTGGTTTCCAACGTAGTCTGCTGCCGGGAAATGTCAGCCATCGTTGTCGCTTGGAAGGCCAGCTGTTCCGGACAATGAGGCAGCGACAAACAAACAACAAGATAACCAACAAAATGCACACAAAGTATAACTCAGAAGCAGAGGCCGAAAGAACACTGAGTGAGAGCCTGTGTCAGATTAGAGGAATGAGCAAGCCTTAAAACCCAAATCCTAAACCTTAACCTTCCGAATCCTGAGCCTAGAGCCAGCTTGTATATGCGGTTATGTAGGGACTTCTATTTTGAGTTTGATAATAATCCTACTAGGACCCTCTCTGAAGCCTCAAATGGGGTCATGGTTTCAAACAATGGGGATATTTTCGGGTCGAATGGAGCCATATGGAGAGTAGATGGAGGGTCCAGGCAGGAAGGAACTCTAGAGGGCTTTCTAAGATTCTAGGTGGGGCTATAAAGCCTCCATAGGGCTTGCATGCGGAGGTGCATGCGTAGAAGTCTTCACATATCGTTTCACATAGAAGTGTTTCAAACTTTCACCCCCACCCCGCTAAACCCTAGACCCTAAACCCCTAAACCCTAAACCCCTAAACCCCGAAGCCCCTAAACCCCTAAACCCCGAAACCCCTAAGCCCCTAAACCTTTAAACCTTTAAACCCTAAACCCCAAACCCATAAACCCTAAACCCTTAAACCCTAAACCCTTAAACCCTAAACCCTTAAAGCCCTAAACCCCTAAACCCCTAAAGATGCTCGCAGGTCGAAGTTGATGCGTGTCGGCGCGAAGGGTACGGACGCGTGACCATCACTGGTGGCTGGTGGCAACGTGGCTGAGGGTTTAGGGTTTAGGGTTTAGGGTTTAGGGGTTTTGGGTTTTGGGTTTTGGGTTTTGGGTTTAGGTGTGTTTCCAAACGCCAAGGGTTTAGGGGTTCAGGGGTTTGCGGGTGAGCCAATGTTGCGAGGCATGGGAAGTAAGGGCAGCAGTCGAGTCCCTTGTGAAAAAGGGGTTTGGGGTTTAGGGGTTTAGAATTTAGGGTTCAGGGCACCCAAAACCCAAAACCTTTAAACCCACCCAAAACCTTTAAACCCCCCCAAAACCTTTAAACCCCCCAAAACCTTCCCAACACCCAAATCCCCAAGCCCTAAAAACTATAGGGCTGGGTGTGGTGGCTTTGTGGGCCGGCCAATTGCCTGAGCCCTGGATCCTGAAACCTTCACTCCCAAACCCTGCAGCCCTCAGCCTTTAGGTTTAGGGTTTAGGGTTTAGGGTTCTAAATAACCCCAAGCCCTAAAGCTAGACCCTGAACCCTAAACGGGCTCGTCCTTGCTAGGTAGGAGGCACAAAACCCCTAAACTCAAAGCCCTAAGCCCCAAAACTTGACCCTAGCAGCCTCAAGCCCTCAAATCCTAAACCGAGGCAAAGCCTCGCAGCATACCAGTGCCTCATCAAGCTGCTTGGTTCTTTAATTACGGAGTTTCAATGTTCACAGCATGTTTTCCTTGCGGTCGTGACTATGCTTCCCTTCTTAGTGCATACTATACTCGCCCTAGTATGGTAGTCAATAAATTTCGGATTTTTGAAGCACTGAAGCACTGCCATGAGGCTCTTTTCGACGTTGGACACATCGGCTGAGCCGGCACGAGAAGTGGTGCGCATCTGGCGCAGCAAAGCCTTGGATCAGAAAAAGAGCAGTGTTTTGGTTGTTTAGGAAAACGGGTTTGGGTTCGGACTCGAGAGCAAAAAAGGCAACAAAAAAAAGGAACAGCCGTCCGGTGCGTACTGACTTAGCTATTAGGCTCCCTTCCCACGACCCTTTCCCTCTGCCCTAAAATTCAAGCCTACATTCAGCCCTAACAACCCTATAGACCCTACACCGCAACATCACCGTACGCCCCAACGGAACCCAGGAAGCTGCTAACCGCCAATCTTTGCATGATCTCACCCGGTGCCTTGGCTCAGGGTGTTGCAGGGTTTAGGGTTTTGGAGCTTTGGGGGTTAGAGTTAAGGGTGTTGGGATTGGGGTTTGAAGGAATTTGGGTTTAAGTTTAGGGTTTAGGATTCAGGGTTCAGGGTTGAAGATGAATTCCTCAGGCCTGATGTTTTTGTTCGCGAAGCAGTTCCCATACCGTCGCCCTGTGTCTGTGTAAGGTACTGACAGAAGCATTGAGTGAAGGGATGACGGTTTTGGAATGCAGCAAGCAAGATTTCTGACGGGAATTCCTGCTAGTCTCTTGACATGTGCATGTCGGGGTGTGGGATGACTTAATGGTATTGGAAACAAACAGATTCCAAGGCAGATTTGTGTGGTAGATGGCTGGTGTAAAGCATCCTAGGATCGTCCGACTGTCCAGAAGTACTCCGGAGCGCAGACTCTTGTTCAAGCATCCCCATGCACGTTCCAGCACGTAGCCCCCCAAGCACTTGACTCTCAAACTCAAAGCCTTGTTTCTGGGCCACAGTTGGACAAACATTTTAAATTTGCATGGCATGGGTAAATATTTAACCTCAATAAAGGGAATAGAAGCTTAAATGTTTAAGACTATCCCGACCATGAGCTAGATTGTAATGCACCGAACCGTGCGGCATATATATATAATATATTATATATAT